AGTGAGCCCGGAGGACGCAGTGGGCGAGAGAGGAGGAGTTGGCATAGCGATAGGGTAGAGGCAGCCATAGCTGCCATAGGTGTAGTTAGGGGGAAGAGTGTGTGTGTATGCGTGAGTGTTCAGAGTGACGTGTGTGGGATATCCAGGGTGATCCAGTGTGTGTGAACAGTGAGTTGTTAGGGCGCTGAGTCGCCATAGCCAGCTGAAAGTGAACACTTATCTGGAAGCCATATCTCTGAGTATTGAGTGGGCGGCGCTTGTCGCCAGTTTGCTGCGTTGCTGTTTACATACATGAAAAGTGTGAATGAGACGAGTCTGATTGCATTTTAAACAAATCACAATCATAAAAACTAAATCGTTCAAAAACAACCTCTGAGAAAATTCCAGAAAAAAACAGCCACAACTCAGGAAAAATCAGGAAAAAAAATCATGACGAATCAGAAACCAGACAGTGATACGCAAAGGACACAGCCCCAATCACAGACTCTAGCTCCAAATCAAAATAGAGACATGGCAGCGACCTCATGCGATGCCTCTCATGATATCTGTATCACAAAATCCCGTGATGTCAACAGCTTGAAGATGAAACCGTCGCCTACCGCCTCTTTCGTGATAAACTGACCGAGCAAAAGAACCTCCTCCTCCGCTTTACGTTAATCACTTTGCCCCATTGTCACTAAAACACCTCAAAAACCTTTGTCGCCCAAACTCACCCCCTCCGTCTTTCGTGGGAGGGAAGCAACCTCCCCCCTCCCCTTGCTAGCCATGACAGCGTCGCCAGCATGCGAAGCCCTTTCATCAGCGAACGAAGCACTAAACAGGCACCATCCTGCGAAGCAGGAGACACAGAATCAGATTGAATGGATTTTTTTTTCTCAAGTAGGAAGGTTACTGCATGCAATAGCTTGTTTCCTTCTTGAGTCTTGAACTAACATTTCACTTGATCCACGTAGTTACAGACAGTGATGGTGCTTTTATCTGCTAGCATAGATGTGATAGGAGTGGGCAACCCTTTCACCTTGAATCGCAGATGCAACTTCTTCGTTCATGAACTTCTTAAACCACCACTAGCTCCGAGCCTGTTTTTGCCGACCCTGATTTTCATTGCGCACCGAGTTTTGCCGAACTTGGTTCCGTTTTGTCTCTTTCCCAGTACTCTTCTGGAAAAAAAAAAAAAAAAAAGAAGCATGGCCGGACTTCCAAAAAACGAAGCGCTCACAACCACAAAAAAGAAGAAGAAAAGAAACAAACACCCCTTTGGACATGATACCAGGTAGATACCCACCCCAAAGTAGTTGTGTGAGTATGCCCTCAGTGAGGCGGTTACGGCACAAAAGAAGAACAAAGGAAAAAAAAATTGAAACTGGACTTAGGGCGGGAATGCGTGCTCATACATTTTGCAAACTAGTAGTTTGGGATGCCCTCCTCCACAAAGTGTCAGCAGCCCGTGGACTGCGTCGTGCCTCCCTGGCAGGTGCAATCATACTTGACTTCTTCTCACTTGTCATCCATGCAAACAGCGAAACAACAAACTGGCGACATGCGCCCACACAGTACTCAAAGATATCGTAACCAAGTAAGAGTTCTCTTCAAAATGGCTATGGCGACTGAGCGCCCACACAACTCACTGTTCGCACTCTGGATCACCCTGGATGTCCCACACGCACACTCAGTGTTCATACCCAACACCCATACAGTACACAAACTCTGCACTCTACAC